TAAAGTTCAGCTATAGCTCAAACAAAGCTTAGACCTGACTGCGGAAAAATCTTGCCAAAAATAAATGCTCCTAATAAATGACTAGTTTTGTATTGAAACTTTTAGGAAACCTTACACAGTGATTTGTATAAAACTAGATAGTTACCAGCTGCTGGATGACCCTCTCCACCAAGGTGGTGAAGCTTATGTCGTCGCTTTCACAGTTGTCATACATGTACTTGACAAGTTTTGCGATGGTTTCGGTATCAGTTTCTGATTCGAATTCGTAGCCCTTGCTCTCCTGAAAAGACACCAAAAAGGGGGGAAAGGGGGGTTATTTTCGCACCTGAATCAGGAAAGAGAAGCAATGAGTGTGAAGAGCCCGACAGATGTGGCTCAGTCAAGAGAAAAGCGATTGCAAAAAAATATACTTTATTTTTCAGACTAAAAGATGCACCAGTGTATAAGACGCACCAAGATTTTGAAGAGGTAAGTAAGAAAAAAAAGTTTTTGTCCTCCCCGGCCCCCAGGAGCATTCTGCAGGCTTCAGCAGGGATGGGAGAAGGCAAAAACACTGTTTTTGCAAAAACAAAAACAAAAAAACAGTCCGTTTTTGCAAATACGGGGGCATTTCTGCCTTCCCCTAGCCCTGCTGAAGCCTGCAAAGTGCTTCTGGGGGCTGGAGGAAAGGCAAAAAACACTTCCATTTGTGCAAAAAAATGGCCTGATTTTCACCTTTGGGGGGGGGGGTTGCTTTTTGCAAAAATGGGATGCAGGGGTGGAGTTTCTGGAGACCAAAAATGACTGTATTATGTTTATAAGATGCACCAACATTTCCACCTTCTTTTAGAGGGGGGGAAAGGTGCATCTTATACTCTGAAAAATACGGTATTACCAAAGTGACCAAGTGCTAAAGATCTTGCACATTAAATTCTAATTTCTTCTAAAATGGCCCAGCACCAATCAGGGACATTTAAAGGAAATTGCCTGGGGGAAACAGGAAAGTTTTACCAAGATCTAACGTCAATCTGGGCATAGGTATTTAGGTATTTAGGTATTTATTGGGATTTATATGCCGCCCTTTTCCCTGAGGGGACTCAGGGCGGCTTACAACCACA